GTAGGAATTGCGGTGAAGGACCTAAAATCTATTCAGCAACTGTTCCTGAGAAGAGATCATCATCTACTGACTTTTATCATCCGACTCTTGCTCTTCAAATGCTTCCGGAGATGCTCCTCTATGTTCGCTGTCTATCGGGCTTGGATCATTATCATCACAAGCCGGCGACAGCTCAGACTTTGAGGGAGTTGTGCTACGCAACGGGGAACCAGACATAGCTCAAACACCTCGTGTAGTTCGCGTCGCGTTGTGCGCGTCAATATGGTGAGAGCCTTCCGACGAGCGCAAATCCTGGAGCTGCTTGCGTCGCACTGTATGTCCGTCGAACTGTAAGTTATATGCGAACAAGCTCGCACGCGCCCGGGGGCACTTACGCGTCGCCAGCCGCACAGGTGCCGCACGCACAGGCTGTGCCCTCCATTCTAACTTGCATCAGATCCGAGACAACTCGAGGCACCTAAGCGCTACGCATTGAGAATCGCAAGAAGCAAGTTCTACATAGGCGGAGATCCTAGGAATCGATAGCGCATCTATCCGATGTCCTGGTACGGCATGCCAAACAAGGTGACATGACTGAATGCGAGAGTGCGGTTATCGTAACATGCGGCCTGCAGGTGCGTATTGGAGTCAGCAAGAGCATGGCAGAGAGAAGGATGCGTGAAAGACCTGCCTGCTGCCGTCGTACACATGTACAGTGGCCCAGCCAGGCGAGCTAGTAGGCTCGCGGTTGAGTTGGCAGCGCATCCGCACGAATTATCCTATCTACAGCTGCAGCCCAAGCACTCAGGTCCTCCTCAAAACATTCAATACGAGGAATTGCACGGTACTCACCGGCGAGAGTGGTAGGAATAGCCCAGCTGAACGATATAAGTGTTAGGCTTCCGGCGAAGTCAGCAGTAGCGCTAATAAGGGATCATGCCGTATAGTGGCAAGTCTGTAGAGGACCAACAAGGGTAGATGAAGTCTTCGGAGACAACATGGAACGTCTCGAGCCTCAGCCTCAGTGAGTACCGAGGCGGCCGATGAGTACGACAGTATTAGCGCTACTACGCGCGTCACTGTAGTCGTGGGAAAGTTATCCCTTTCCGACGCTCGTCAACGAGTCGTCGCTCCTCATGCGGCGTGGGCGGAAGAAGACCAGGACCAGGAGGCGAGAGAAGAAGACCCAGAGGATGAAGACAACGGAGCCCCGAACGGAGAGGAGGACCAGGGCCAAGACGAAGGAGAGGCGGAGCGCGAGAACGAGGACGACGAAGAATAGACGGTACTCGCTGCACGGCGACGTACCGTCCCCACCTCCCCCAGCCAACAAAACAACCGACACCTCGTGCACTAGGGGGGCAATCCCGGCTTGCGCCCCTAGGAGAAGGACGCCGGAGAGCCGAGTAGTATGGACAGTATGCCTCTCACTTTTTTCTCCTTTATTCCCTATTTATCACTATGCGAGCTACGTCCCGACCTCAGACCACATCACTAGTTACTGCCTCATAACCCGACTTGTTTGCCTAACCATTACAGTACAATCCTCACGCGTACATACTACCATACCATCTCGAACAGGGCGCAGGCCTGGGCGGCGCGTCTAAACGCCCGCACATGTACAGGCCGGCGTCCGCCGCGTCTTAGCACATTGTTTGCTTGTTGCGGTTAATAAATGCTGAGTTCATCATCATCATCATCCTCATGCGGCGTGCTCCGTTCGGGACCCTCGCATGCAGCACGATTCAGCAGCCATGGCATCTTGCTCGTGTGTACATCAACCTGTCACGGTTATTCATGCATTGACGCTAGGAAGACAGCCGGTTGACGTTCGGAGGCCGTTCTTTGAATGAATCTGGTACCAGTTGAGTGTGACGCGGCGTACTGCTGCTGATCAAGCTCAAGTGTTGTGGCAGAAAAGGAGATTCTAGATTACGACTGTATGTTGCCTTTGAGTTTTGCTGCAACACTGTTGATGATTTTGCGAACGAGGTGTCGTGCCGTATACATTGCAGGCAAGGTCAGACTTGGGTCAGACGGCTACATAGACAACTCGAAGTCATCAGATGGGTCACACGTCGATACGCTCGCTCCGAGTCTAGGTTTCCTGATGTTCGAAGTTTCGTCAAGTTTTCGCACTGTGCATTATGCTGAGTGTCCTTCTGACTGGTTGTGTCCACGAAGTACTACGACTCCGCCAGCGAAACATTGCCAAGTGGCTGGCCAGTCCTGCGGAACGTGCAACTTGACGACTGAATCTTCCAACTCATCTAATCTTCTCTGCTTCTCAGGTGTTCAGCGTTCTGAATCAGCGCTCGGCCTTGGGCTGCCTAACGGCCAAGCGACTAGCTTCGCGTTGGTGTTGGGCCGTCATGACTCATAAACAAGTCGATGACAGTTCAAGAGTCATTCGCGCAGGCAACGACTGTCATATTTGCGCGATGTCATGGCTGCGTAGCTCACGCTACCTCCTCGCCTGTGCCATCCCCCTAGCGGGGTCACTGACGACGATGAATCCGACGAGGCTGAATCGGCTCGGTACCCAATTCGAATATCTGTCCCACAACTTGACCAGTACTGTTCAGTGAGACAGATGCAGCCTTATCTTGAACGATCAGGGGATACTTCTTATAATTAGGTGCGTTTTCAGTTGTCGCCGCTGATTGAAGCTAACGGGCCATTTGAGTGCGGGAGAGTTCCACACATGGCGCCTCCCGGTGCCTGACTGACCTGCAGTGCTTAGACGTCTTCCAGAAGATGGTCTACATGGCGCCAGCGCGTGTTTACACGGTGAGCTTCGTCGCAACATGCATGCTGTGGATGGTTGACTAGACGTGCGACAGGGGGCCTGGTCAACCCTGTGCAGGGTGTACTAGAGTTCGATGACTGGCGAACTTAGCAACCCATCTCCAATGCGGCAAAACAAGCTGGAACGTTTCTGTTTCAGCGTCCGTGCCGATGTGATTGGCTGTCTCAGGAATTATTCTGATTTAATACCATGTGATAGGTCCATATATGAGCTACAACATCTCGTGTCGTTGATGCACGGTATGAATGAGACCACAGTTGAACGGCGAGTCGACAATTGGATCCATCCCTCATTGGGTTATGACTCAGGGCTGCTTGATCAACGAGGCTCAAAGTAAGCTCATCCATGCTGTTCTCGAAGTTGTCTTGAGTACATCATTATGTAGCACCGCTGCAGTGGCCCTCTGGACGCTGAAAGACGAGCCTGTGGCACCGACTGTAAGGTTCGTCGTGAATAGCCTCCTCGCAGGTGGAGTGAGATGTGTCGGCGTCGATGATTCGATGCGGATGTCGCGTTCTGCGGGAGTCAACGTGATAGTGCATCCGGTCTGAGATTCTAAAATCGGTGAGTTATCGGTTATCGTGGCGCGTTTATATACCTCATTGACCTTTTTATTTGCGGCGTTTGGAATGACCGCGCACCTATAAGGCGTACGTCCTTCGCCTGCGCAGGTTTCGACCTGGCAGCTCGTCGCCCGCGCAATCTAGCCATCGCCCATTGCTTCGGCTCCAGCGTCACAGGTCATGTAATGGACCGTCCAGGGGAGCCGCTGCATATAACAACATCGATTCAAGCGCTGTGAACCCACGCCAAGTGGCTCTGGTGGCAGCGCGTCAAAAAAGGAGGTAAGGAGGAGGTCCGAGGAGGAGGGTATTTCATCTGATCATAGTCATGACATCCAGACGCATTGGCGTTTTCGGTGTGTGACAGCGTCCACTAGGTACATGACGGTCCCCGACTACTGTTGTGCCTCTCCGCAGAGCCTCACCTGTCAAGATGTGTCAAGACGCCAGATCGGCGGAGTGCACACGCTGGTCAGCGTTGAACGCTGCAGGAAGACAATGACCGGGTCTGCAATGACCGCTGGCGTAACCTTCGCATTGTGTCGCATTCTGTACGCTCATGCAGGTAAGTCAGAAGATCACTTTCTATGTCGTATCTCGCGGACGTGCGACTGATTATTTCAAGGTACTAATGATCTTCAGCCTATCTATACTCGCTTTGACGGTAGAGACGGTATATGTTATTGGCAGGTACTGGTGTCGGATAGCAGTACAAGACAACGCTCTGGAGGCTCTACTTAATCGAGCCCATGTTCTCCGCTATCATGGCAGGTACGGAACCGCACCCTTGGCATGTCTGGGCCACGCTTCCTTCGCTGATTGGCTTCCAGCCACACCTAGGTTCATACACTGATGCATGGCATTCAATGATACCGACTCTGAACGCTGAAGCCACAGCACTCACTCCGTGCGCAAACGGCCGGCCTTCCCCTCCAACGTACACAATGACAGCTACGTGCGCTTATGTTTGTGATGATGCCGTGTGGGCGTTTGATGGCCTTCTCACAATACCACTAGGCCTCGTGTTAGCATCTCCCGGACTGACAAGAACGCAGGTGCTGTGGTCTACTGTCTTTATATAAGCTCCATGCGATGTGTACTGAAGGAGTCATCCGTTCCGATCCTACCCTCTTCACATGATGAGAAGCTTTCCGATCGCAGAAGCACAGCTGGCTGCGCTGTTTATGCAGAGCATTGCATATGGTATGCACGCAGTGACATTCGCGGCATGCATATATACCTGGTTCCACCAATCGTACAGTTCCGGAGGGCGGATGTCAGGTCGCTGGCTTTGGATGTTCGTCGCCGTCGCTTTCTTCGTGATCGGTACCTGCGACGTGTCTTTCAATTTCTACCACAACGTCATCGCCTTCATCGTCTACAAGGGCCCCGGAGGTGCAAATGCGCAATTTGATCAATTCTCTAATTGGGTCAATTTCATGCGGGTCCGTATACTTCTCATCTGTACGGCTACTCATGCATCAATCGGAGCATACAGAATCTTCTTTTTGATATCAATGTCGCAGTTTCCGACGCTGCCTTGGTGAGTATTCCCGCAGCGGTCTATTGCTTGGTCCTGTGCTCGACAAAGGCATGCATGTTGATGGTTGACTGCAGATCTATCGCTGCTGGCTCGTGTACACAGAATCACCACATAGGACAATCGTCGGGATCGTACCAGCTATACTATGGCTGGCATGGTTATCCATCGCAATCGTACTTCTTTATTACGCCGTGACCCTGAACACGGCAACGTCGATCCCAGGAACTCTCGAAATCCAGCCTTTCGTCTATGCGTTCTACTCGACGACGTTAACAATCAATGTGTTCACAACGGGTACGTTGACCTGGCATTTCCTCTACTTCATGTAACTGATCTGGCTGATCGTCAATAAAAGGCCTTGTCATTGTCAGACTCTGGAAATTTCATAGGCGTAATGCAGAGCTATTCTCGCGAAGCTGGCGAGTCCCAGGCCGAATGGACTGGGCTCGGTACACCTTGATCATAGTGGAGTCGGCCCTTCTGTACACGGCGACTGTCGTCACTTGCATTGCGCTGGATCTTGTGGGTACGAATGCGTACTATGGCATGACAGACATTGTAAGTGAAGACTCAGAGTGGAATCGGCACTTATACAACTTTCCTCTGACACATCCGATTTTGCAGAGTCTAGAAGCTGCCGGTATCACCTTCGACCTCATCATTATACGGATCTGGACGGGAGTATCAACAGAGCAGACTCAAGCTTTCATGGATACGGTGCAGCATGCATCCAAAGTAGTGGCGACTGCGCACGATGAACAAATCAAATCTGCTCCGTCAGCTTTCACGGCCCGGGATGTAAACACCTTGGACCTGACCCAGGCCCTCCCCGGTGATCATGACGATCAACTGGAGTGGCAGAGGAATGGCTCCGGAAACCATGTATGATCGTTCAGACACAGGCCGCATATTGCTAGACCACTGACTGTATTCATGATGGTGTACTTCGACTTTCGATTTCGGTAGGAGAAAACTGTACAATTAGAACTCGTGTCGTTCAAATCCCTCCAGGATAATCAAGCAAATATGGCCGTCGAGATGTACATATGTTACGACTTACGTGAAGTTAATGAACCGTAACCCTGAGGACGACTGGGCGAACAAACAAGTACAAAGACAATGAAGTACTGCTTCCTCCTCCTCCCGCCGGCCGCACGACCGATCATCGACATCGTACACATATACTCTTCGGAACTGCTGTATAAACAGGCTTGATAACTGAACCGCATCCGCATCTCGCCGGTCACCCCTGAAATCATGACTGGGCTTGCCGCGGCGTGAACACATGCACTGCAAGTCCTGTTGGCGCTAAACTACTGCTATGACAGTGTTGAGACCCAGGCTCACCATCACCAAGTTTGCAGTTCGGGGTCTGGTGTGAGTGGCTAGTCGGGACTCGTCAATGTAAGCATTCGGCCAGTGACTCTGAGCCTGAGGCTACTGCACACCAGCGCTAACGTCAATTTGCAGTCGGTGCAATGATCTCTCCGAGACCTTCCCTTCCAAGCCCCAACGTTCGGTGCTGAATAGGCACAGCTTGTGACGGTAGTGTTCAGTCTATAAGGCCTCACTGTGAGTGTGTGTCTAACCAATGTTATGGTTCATCTTTGTCTTGGGAACTTTCCACCGACATCTTCCGTCGTAACGTTTGTCCGGCTGGTCGAACAGATGCACCTTGGACGCGCGCCTTCATGGTAGACAGTCCGTTCAAACGTCTACCAACTCTCACGTTGCCACATCGCCTTGTGGACAGAATCATTGAAGACTGACAGTGCGTCCACTGCCACGACGATACGTATATGAGCCTACATTCTATCGACGAGACCTGGGAAACCCGAGCCCGAGCCCTTTTCCCAGCGGTCAGGATGGGCGCATTCCCTATTGCGGAGGCACAGCTGGCTGCCCTCTTCATGCAAAGCGTAGCGTACGGCGTACACGTCGTGACATTTGCAGCTTGCATATACACCTGGTTCCATCGCTCGAGCAACTCACACGTATCGGGATGCTGGCCGTGGATGCTCGTCGCCGTAGCCTTCTTCGTCTTCGGCACTTGCGACGTCTCATTCAACTTATACCACAACCTCATTGCATTCATATTCTATACGGGACCCGGTGGGGCAGATGCTGAATTTGACCGCCTGTCGACTTGGGTCAACGTTATGCGGGTATGTGGCCGTCTTCGAGCTGGGTCCTGCGCGTTGCATGTCTCATCCAATTCTTCCAGAGTGTATGGTTCGATCTCAATATCGCCTTATCTGACGCAGCCCTGGTGAGTATTGAAGTGAACATAGCCTTACCACAACCGAATAGGTCGATTAACACACGTTGGTAGATTTACCGCTGCTGGCTCGTGTACGCGCATTCGCCTCGTCGGGCAGTTGTGGCCATTGCACCCGTCGTACTTTGGCTGGGATGGATTTCTTGCGCAATCATCATCCTCTACTACATCTGCACCTTGAATGCAGTGACGTCTATACCTTCAACCGACGAGATCCAACCCTTCCTATATGCCTTCTATTCCTTGACACTCGCGATAAATCTCTTCACAACGGGTATGTGCGCACACTCCATATTTCAAGCACGACGCTCATGGGAATGACACTACTTACAGGTCTTATCATCCTCCGGCTCTGGAGGGTCCATAAGCGCACATCATCGTTCTTCACGCGGAGTTGGCGAGGACCGAGTCGTTTGAGTTTCGCAGACGTCACTTTGATTATCATCGAGTCTGCGCTCCTGTACACGACAACCGTCATCATCTGCGTCGTGCTGGACTTGGCGAATAGCAACGCGTACTATGGCGCTACGGATGTCGTAAGCCATCTACGTGGTCCTCTGCTGTGTAGCGTTCTGATATGATCTGTGCTTTGCAGAGCCTTGAAGTAGCAGGGATATCATTCGATCTGATCATTATACGGATCTGGACAGGCGTGTCCACGGAACAGACGCAAGCCTTCACGGATACGGTGGAGAATTTGTCGAAAATCAAGGCAGGAGCGAGCGAACAGGTCATCACCGCTCACTCGGGCTTCACGGACTTGAACACTTGTGGCTTCCCGTGATGATATTGCCCAGTGGGGTGACGATGATGCGAACCCCGTCTGATGTGTCCTGGCGATCTCCTGGTCTTGTTGGTAATCCAACGTACCGTAGATGGTGACTATACTAGGAGCGAATAGATTGAGTCGACATTAACTATACGACGTTCGGCCTAGTAGTATCCATGCAAGAGCAACCCGACATGATGCTCGATGGCTTAGCTCAGGTCCGGAGAACCAGCTCTCGGCATTGCTTGATGAAGTTCTGTTGTG